GAATCTGTAGGTTGCCTTGGGCAGTATGACCATTTTAATAATATTGACTCTTCCAATCCAGGAGCATAGGATATCATTTCTAGGAAAGCTTTATGCCTTTATGAGTTTATTTCATTTGATATTAATATAGTTACATATCTGTATAATTAATGGTGATATTTGGCAGATCCATGCCTGGCCCTGCACACTGCTCATCTCCTTTTTCCTTCCCTGATGCTCCCTTATCCCACTGGGTGTGACACTGAACAGCTGGAAGATGACTTTGGGGGCTAATGGGAACAGGAATCCCTGACTCTCCACCCCACACCCAGAAGAATCAGGATAGATATCCAAGACGGGTAAAACTGCCCCATATATTCATACAGTGGTGACTACTCAGCTGCAATGTTCTGGTTCCTTATTTCTGCCCAACTGTGTAAGGACTGGTCTGGAAGGAATCATGGTAGCCCCATGGTGTTGACAGTGCTGTGATCTGGAGTCACATCTGAAGCACCAGTGGTTAAGGGGGCCATTGAACCCCAAGGGAGGTCTTGAAGAATGCACAGTGAGATGCCTCTTTCCAGGTAACAAAGCTACATGGAAGTTAGAGTTTGAGTTTTCCTGGCCGTGCTCCAGTGAGATTACTCTTGTAAGGCCTGTTCCCTCATTTCACCTCACATGCACCTACCGAGGCCTTTCCCTACTCTCCACTTTCCCCTGTCCTCCTAGATAACCCACTCTGCCTCTCTGTTGATGGTGGCATCCTATATGGAAGGTGACTGGGACAGTTTACAAACACGACTGTAATTTTTTGACATTCCTCCTATCACTGCCTGTGTCCCCTCCACTGGAACCTGGATGGGCTTGTGACTGCTCTGACCAGTAGAGCACACTGGAAGTGACGCTCGGTGACCTCTGAGGCTGGGTCACAAAAGGCCATGCAGCTTCTTCCTTGTTTGCTGGAATGCTTGTCCTTTGAGCCCTGAGCCATCATGTAAGAATTCTGACTGCCCTGAGACTGCCAAGCTGGAGAGGCCACATGCAGGCACTCTGGTCGACAGCCTGAGCAACCTTGTCCTTCACCAGCCCCAGGCTAGGTGCCAGACATGCGGATAAAGAAACTGTGTTGGGAGTGGGTTCTCCTGTCCCTGCTATGCCAGCCGTACCTTTTCAGTCACCTCACAGTCTTTGGCGTCATCATAGCTGAAGCCCCAGACATCACTGAGCAGAAACATGCCATCCCTCTGTGTTCTGTTGAAGTTCCTGACCACAAGAATGGGGCAACACAATAGTTTGTTTGCTGTTTTATGCTGCTCTGATGGTTAAGGGAGGTTTGTTCTGCCAACAGTAACTGAAATAATAATGACAACAAACAGGCAGTTGAAATCTCGCTTTTCTCGGTCTATCACCATTTCTGTATTTATTCACAGCCACTTATCTGCAAAGATCAGGAAATCAGAATTATTTGCTTAGATATAGAAATGTGTGCACTTGACTTTGACCTGAGCTTGGCTTAGGACCTTTGTAAACCAGCTGCCAGACTGAGCAGGAGCCGCCATTTTAAGGAGTGAAACGTGTCTAGGCTTTCAGTCGGAAGCTGGACCGGGAGGGAGATGATTGCGCCCCACCGCTGGTTCATCCTCCATAAGTAGATCTCTTCTGTTTGTGGCTCAGTGTCTCAGGTGATCATCTGGGGAAATCTGGTATCTCTAACCTAATCCTGCTCTATTCACTTGCTTCTAAGAAACAAACAAAAGAGTACTTCAAGTCCTCTTCTGCCTGACATGGACTGTTCATTTTTAAACGTGGCTCTGAGGCAGTCTGCATTTTCTCGTGAGGACATCCTTAGAGAAGGACAGCCTCCCTGGCTAGCCAAACGTTGTTCCTGCCAGATTTCAGGTTGTGCCAAAACTTTAGCCTTTTCTTTTTCCATTGAAATACTGGAAAGTATTGTTGTGCTTTGTTGACAGTGCTGAATGGTGGTCTATTTAATGAGGACTTTAGAACTTTTATTTTATCCTAATTGCTTTATAAACCATAACTTTGCTTTTCATACCTTTCTGGATGAGTTTCCTCTTCTTTATTACCATAACACACAGGTACTCAAATCCTTGGCTAAACTCATTGGCAATATTTATTCTACTTCTTTATAGGCAAATAAACCAGGGTACTGTGGTACAGCTCTCTGAATACTTGGATCACTTACAGAGTTCAGAAGCACTGTAAACACTGATAGGGAAAATCCTGGAGGGAATTAACTGAGAGCTGGCAAGGGAAGAAACCTTGACAGTAAAAAGGCCCATAGAGTCGTTAATCCTCTCTCCGACATGCCCCTTGAGTTTCCTTGAGCTTTGCCACTTTTCTTCTTAGACTGTTACAAAAGGCTGCTGCTGCCTGTCTGTCCTCAGACTCGACTCCCTACCAGGTGCTTTCCCTGTGGCAGTCATGTTGGTGCCTAAGGACACAGGCTGTGTGTTATTTGTGGCTTTACTTCCGTTGCTTAGCACAGCGCCTGTTACATAGTTGGTGTACAACGAATGTTTGAATCTATGAATATTGAAAAGTTACATTATTTCTATTCTCTGGTCTATTCAGTGCACCCATGTTGCCTAAGAATCAGATCTGCTTTCCTTCGCATGAGCCCAGCAGGCGATAGATAGACTCAGGCAGCTGAGAAGTACTCAGTGATTAAAACAGGGGTGTGATGGCAGTGACAGGAGCTAAGGGGTAGGTTTAAATAAAAATATCCCAGGAAGACCTGATTGAAATTTATATAAATGTGTACATATATGTGTATATGTATACACACACACACATATGTATACATATATACATACATATATAGGTGAGAAATGGGGAGTTTATTGGAAATAATTTGCACTATACATTATATTTTGCATTATATCACGTGACCTTTTTCTTTTTTTAATTTAAACTTACTATTTGCCTCTAAATAAGTCTAAGATAGAGTTAAAAAATTGCTTCTTATAGATTCAAAACTCAATCTGTTACATTCACAGATCTCTCATGGTGCTCAAAATTGCATCTAGACTGGTGTTTAACAAAGAAAGTAACACAAAATATTGAAGTCGTTTTGCAAATCTGAAGTGACAGGTTCTTTGTTGTAAGAATACATCTACTTACCAAGAGTGGCTTTTCGTCTAGAGGAGACCTGCTTTTTCATCTTCCTCATAATGAGAATGTGAAGGGGAAGCTTTCTGTGTCTGTGCCGTGGCAAAAACATCTGTCTTTAAAAAATCTAGGCGATTACTTACAATTTTTCTGAAAGCCTTTCAAGCTCAAGGCCTTTCAACACCAAATACTGTATTCTTTACAACAAAGTTAAATTTCTTCTGCCATACACTAACTCAGAATTTTTGATATTTTCATTAACTTGACTGATTAAACTTTATGTGAATTAAACTTCGAAAAATCGGGTGAATTTTCTTTCCTTTTTTTGTCTTTTTTAAAAAATTGAAGCATAGTTGGTTTATAGTGTATCAATTTCTGGTGTACAGCACAATGTTTCAGTCATACATATACATTCATATAGTCCTTTTCATAGCTTATCATTATAGGTTACAAGATATTGAATATAGTTCCCTATGCTATACAATATAAATTTGTTGTTTATCTATTTTATATATAGTATATAATATCTGCAAATCTTGAGCTCCCAATTTATCCCTTCCCACCCCTTTTTCCCTGCTGGTAACCATAAATTTATTTTCTATGTCTGTGAGTCTTTTTCTGTTTTGTAAATAAGTTCATTTGTGTCTTTAACATTTTTCTTTTTAGTTTCCATGTATAAGTGATATCCTGTGGTATTTTTCTTCCTCTTTCTAGCTTATAAGAAGGTGAATTTTCAAAGATAATTTTTCCTCCAGGTATTTGAGTACTATTGTATACACATTCAGTGCTTCAGAGGCAAATTTATGGTCTGTATTAAACATGTTACTTTATTAGTGCAAACATTTTTTTTTCAAGAAGCTGTCATTAAATTTTTTATTTCAAGCTATTATGTTTTTTGATAAAGCTGCCAGTATCTCTGTGTGTAAAAGAAGGTGAAAAGGTGGGATCCCTTATTACTAAAGAGGGCAGCACTCAGTGAATCTCTGTGGCTTCCAGGGCCCTGAAGGAGCCTGTTCACCAGGGAGCTTTGCTCTTAGGGCAGATTTAAAGCAGACTTCACGGTGGGGACTCAGACCTGCAGAGTAGGAGAGAAGGATTGTGGGAAAGTTGCATAGTTTGTAATAAGATCAAAACCTACTTAACTAGAAATCGTTTCTCAGTTGTTTTTCCCGACAGAAAAGGCAGGCACTGAAAAACATGAATTTGAGGCACAAGGCAATACTTGGAGGTTGAAGGAACCTCCCCAGTCTCCATGTTTCACCCTCTACAGGCCCCTCTCCACTGCTCTCTATGTAACAGCTGGAAAAATCCTTCTAAAAACACCTCAGTCAGATCATGCTACCTCCCTGCTCAGAATGATCCACAAATCAGGGCTTTGCATAACATCTGCAAATAAAAGCCAAAAGTCCTTCTGGGTTCTGGCCAAGTCTCAAACTCATCTTATACCACTCTCCCCTTTGAGCTTTCAGCTTCATTCACCTGGAAGTTTCCTGGTTGCTGCTGGAAAACTCCAACCCCTTTCCACTTGCTGCTCCATCTATCTGTAACACTGTTCCCCAAAGCATCCATGTGGCTTGGCTTCCTTAGGTCTTTGCTCAAATGCCCCCTTTTCAAGAAGCCTTGTCTAATTCCTGACCCGCCCTTCCCCCTTTTTAGCACTCAGTCCTGCCTGACAGTCTGTTAGGAATGTATCTATTGACTGTCTACCCCACTGGAGAGTGAGCTCCTTGAGAGCTGGGACTCTGCCTCTTGGGAACACTGATGTAACCCTTGTGCCTAGAATGGTGTCTGGTATGTACGTGGTGCATAATGAATCTTTGTGGAATGGATGAATGAATGACTAAATACATGAAAGCAATAAAAATGAATGGTTTTGGTGGAAGAAAGTCAGGCAAATGGGTTTTTAAATGTTTCTTGAGACAATTTCCTCATTGTAGAAGATATTCCTGATAGGAACAGTTGATTTATCTGAACTGAATTTTGGGGCAATAAAAGGAGGGGAGGAAGGAGAGAAGGGACAGAATAGAAAGTGGGGAGACAAAATGTGGGCTAAAGATTGGGATGAGTAGTGGTGTGGCTGTCTGTTCACTCTACTCAGGCAGCAGATTCAGTCAAGCCTGAAAGAGTCAATATCTTTGGTAGAAATCCATGGAAAGATTGTATGGATAATTTTAAGGGTTTCCCTGACCAACACGAAAGACGTGAAACAGATTTTTAAGGGACTTAGTAAGTGAGTGGTGAAGGATTTATTAACATGCTCTATGTAGGAATTGAAAAATTAATCAAAAGCCCTAGAGAAACATTAGAAAACTGGTAAGATTACCTTCTGAAGACCTTAAACTCTGTGGAGGACTTAAGGAGTTTTCAAGGGTAATTTGAATTACATGAGATTTTCACTTTATGGGCTGAGCAACCTAACCCTGGAGGAGGATGTGACTGTTGTAAAGAGAAGAGGAAAGACCAGGATTTAAACTGGGTGTGCGCTAAAACCGGTAAGGTTGATAGAAGAAGATGTATCACGATGGAGGTGGTTCTGTGTGTCACCCATCTTTCTAGCTGATAATTATTTAGGAAGAGCCTTGATTTTGACCAAAACCAAACTATCAGGTGTTGTGAAACCCAAGCACTTCTTTCTAGTTTATTGCCACCTCTCCATTACACAGAGTAACGAGGTTGGACATGGGCTGTCGATTTCCTGATTGGTCATATAGTTGGTGATTCATTAGGAGTTTCCAGTGTGCACTCCATTAATGAAACATCTCATCTTCAGGCATGTCAGTGCCGCTGGAAATCATCACATGGTTTGCCTGTGATCTGCCGCCATGCAGCTGGCCTCTGCGAGGATTTTACAATTTCTGACTCACTTGTTGGTGCATGCTTCACATAACCGTAGCCTGGCGGGCCTGAAGTGGGGATGCATGTGCAGGACTGTGAGGTAATGACAACAGGGTGAAGAAGAGGAGTATGGAGGCTGAGATGATGCAAGGTCACATATAAGATTTGATGTGCTTTGGGATGCACAAGAATATTTTTTAAAAAATTAGTTAAAAGTTGAAGTAAAGGTGAATTTGTTTCTGTATTACTGAGATATACTTTAGTCTTCCTCTCCTTTTGTGTAATATGGATTTGTTTCAGTGTGTGAGGGTGAGGCTAATGCAATCTAAAGGAGCTTCTGCGGTGATTGGTTCACATTGACCTGTGTTCTTATCTTGAGAAATCACTGAGGTTTTTTTTCAAGAGAAAGCTGGGAAACAGATGAGCAACTACGACAGAACTCATGCTTAGGAAGCATCCTCCACAAACAGAATTGTGTTACTGACCTGGGTCTGCTCTTCACTCTAAGGTGTCCTAGCTCATTTAAAAAATTTTATTTTTAGTTTTTATTTGTGTTGAGAAACTTTCAACATGAAAAGATACAGCCTTGGGTTAACATGTAAAATTCTGAAGGGCATCCAATAAAGAAAAAATAGTAACACTATTTTTATGAGGATAGTCACTGTGGAAAAATTGTGATCAGATCTCCAATTTCCTCCATTATCTAGGTCGATAAGGAAAATAGTTTCCCCACTTTATTTCCTCTGTTCCAAATTCATTTTTAGTGATGTGGAGAGTTGCATATTTTATCATTGTAACATAAAGATGGACTATTTTGACAATCACCAAATTTAAATATGTAATAAAGAAGTTCAAGTCAAGAAACACACAGCGCAGCATAATGATGGAAAAGACCCAGCCAAGTTTTTAAACATTGGGATTGAAATTTCATGGCTTCTGAGGATGACTCACCACTGAGCTGTGTCATGAGTTTCATTTTGAAATAAAGTACACTGTGTGGTTTCATTTGAGGCTTTATGTTGATGCAAAAAGGAAATGAGCCCACATTGGGAAGTTAGCTTGAAATACAGCTAATGGATGATGCAAAAAGTGTCAGGCTGTTGTTTGGCCATCCTCCCCACCTCTGCTCAGGCATTATCAGGCTGTTCTACAACCGTAGAATACCTGTCTGTCTCCTCCGCTTGTCTGAGAACTCGTAAAGGGCAGGCACTGGGTTAAGCAAATAGAAGATGCTCAGGGAATGGCTGTTGGATGAACAAGTGAATGTCAGCTCAAAGGGAGTGAATTCCTCCACTCAAATCTGCCAGGATAATTGTTGATGAAAAGACTGTTCATCTGTGCACCCACATACTTGACTTAAGCACTGGCTTATTTATAGAAGCTGTTTTACAGGGTTATTTTCACAATTATATTCACATCCTCCAACTTGGATGGTCTCTTGAAACCAGCAGGGGAGGTGGGGTGGTGAATATAGGATGTATAGTCGGAACAAAGCAGCAGTGATAAAAAATTGAGTAAGATTAATTATATTTAAGTTGATTTTAATTTGTTTCAATTTATTTCCACGTATTTTGAAGAGACACAATGTTCTAGACTCTCTTCCAAGTATACTAGACTCTTGTGGTGAGGAGGGAGGCAGAAATTAGAGTTCTTAGATAAAGAAATTAGAGCAGAAGAAAAAAAATGAAGATACAAAAAATAGAACTGAATTGTGAGGTGGTACAATTTAATCTTCAGATGCACAAGCTTTCATATCAGACCAGAACTGAGGCTGGTTCTATCATTTTTAGCTCTGAGAACTTGGAGAAGTTACGTGACTTAATCCTCAGTTACTTCTTTGCAAATCGGGAATTCAAATAGTAATGGTACACGATAAGGTTATTATGAGGATTAGCGATGTGTTCATGCACAGCACGCACCCAACATGAAGTCCTGGATCAATGTCTGTGAGTGCTTGGTGAGTCAGTGTGAGAATGGAAAGGGTGAGGAAAACAGCTCTAAGACTGAGTTTGTTTTAGAGTTTCTGTTGCTGATCCATATAAAATACAGTGTTCTGCTAAGATGGCATTTGTTTCTTGTAGCCCAATCCAAATCACCAAATAATTGATAGCTTGAAAATAAACATTGAGACCATTACTTACTTCTCCAAACTTCACTGAAGGAAGTATCTTGAACTTTCTCCTCGAAAGAACACAGATGAGAGTACAGAGCTGCTTCATTTCCAACAACCAGAAGGTTGCCTTCGTTGTCCAAATTATAACCACGCAGTCCAGAGAAGGTACATGTGCTTTTGGGAGAATAACAGTTCTAGATTCTGTAAAAAATGGAATAAATACTATAGAGAGCAGCTGAAGAAATGGGTGAAGTCTGGTCACTTTTCAAAACTAAATTTCCATTTTCTGACATATGTAAACATTTCTCTTTCTTTTGGAATATGAACTCCAAACTTTTGGGGAGCCTCTTTTCGTCTGAATTAGCTATTTGTCTTAGGTTTCATTGAGAATGAGACCAGTCCATACGAGCTCTCTCAGTAACTCCTGGAGTTACCTCTGGTCCCTTTTTCTACCTCCGAAGAAGGTAGCTTGTTCTTTTTCTTGCCAAGAACACTGTCCTTGATTCTGTTAGGGCGCAGGGCGCACCTCCTCTCGGTTTTGCTCCCTTCTTTCTGTACTATCTTACTTCCATCTATCTTTTCCCCTCTGCCCATAAATATGATCAGGGCCCTCCCTAGCCTCAAATAACCGTCCTCTGGCTCTGTTGCAAGAGCAGGCTGCTACTTATCTCTCTTCCGTTCACCACCAAACTTCTAAAAGACTGCTTTCACTACTTACTCATGCATTCACTTCTTAACCCCTTGTAATATGGTTGCCACCTCTGCCCCTCTGTGAAACCACCTTCTGGAAGATCACTGGGTATTTCATATGCAATAGATCTATGAGCATTTCGCAGTCCTCATTCTGCTTGCCCCTCCTGCAGAAACTTCCCTTCTTGGAACTCGCCCCTCCTGTGGTGTCTGCGGTACAGTCGTCTGCCGGGTCTTTCACCTTTCTGAGAATGTCTCTTCCGCCTCCTTCACTAGCAGCTTTTTCTTCCTCCTTCTGCTCCCTAATGATGTTCTCTTCTCCACATTCTTTGCCTCAGGTAACTCCTCATCCCCTCACGTTGATTTACACACGAGTACCTTCAGTCTCTTGTCCCTTCATCTCAGAATCTCTCTCCTGATGATTCCCAAACCCAGCAGTTTCTGACTGTTAGAATCTTCTTACTTAGATAATCAGCCAGGATTTCAAACTCAACATATTTTAAACTAAGCTTATTAACTTATACCGGCTAAACTCCAAACTCTGATTGTTTTTATTTTTTTATTATTGACACTACTATTAATGAGTCTTCTTTCAAAACTCACTCTTCCTTCCTTCCCCTTCCTTCCTTCCTTTCTTCCTTTTCCTGTGCTCCATGCCTACTAAATTATGGTACACAGGGTGGGAAAATCATCTGTTTTGGAGTCAGACAAGTCTGGGTTCAGATCATGGTTTTGCTCCTTACTGCCCTTTTGGCCTTGAGCAAATTCCTTAAGCTCGGGGGGTCTTGGTATCCTTATCTATAAAAAGGGGGAAAAAAATCTCCTACATGGCCAATTGAGAGGATTGGAAGACAGCTGCACCTTTTATACCCACTCTTCAATAAATAGTAATCTCATTCTTTTCCCTGGCCCTGGTTCTCTCAGACCCACTTTTCTTTTCCAGTACTTGTCCGGGTACTTCCTGCAGCTCCCCACATGTAGGTGTTCATCACATGCTGTTTTTCCTCTTTCTTTTCTTCTGTTGTTGCCTCCTCTGCTCAGACCTCTTGTCTGGACAATTTCTGGGGCTCCCACATGGCCCTGGCTCCTGCCTGGGCTTTTGGATTTACCCCACACACTGCTGGTTGGCTGGCCTTCCTCAGGCTTCCTCAGACAAGGCAACTCCCCTGCTCAGAAACCTTCAATGCTTCATTATTTCCCAGAAAATGAACTAGGAAAACATATGGTCCAAGTTATCCTCACCGACTTAAATGTCACAATTCTTTCACATATCGCCTGTATCGTTTAACACATGCTTACTTTTCTCTTTGGTTGCTTTTCCTCCTGGGTCTGGAGTGATACGTAGCAAGTCTCTGTCTGCCAGATCTGTTTCTACCACAGTGGTTTCCCTGATCCCCCAAACACTTGAAACTTCTCTCTCCTTTGACCCTACAAAGACTTTGCATTTCTCATCCTCAACTTAATCACCATTTTAGTGGTTAGTTGTTTATTTCTTTACACTTTCTCACTCCTCCCCTCATGAGAACATAGATCTTTGAGACCGTGTCTAATTACTGTACCTGTTTTTGAAAATAGCTGATCTAGGGGGCCCTCAATACATTTTGGCTTAATTAAAATAATACAACTTTGATATACAGATCCCCTTGTGAAAGTCTTTTAGACAACAGAACCATTGTTAATGAGAGAAGAAAGAAGTGCCTCGATTTAAAAAATGATGATAATAATAAGTAGAATTTTAAAGGGGGAGGGTGTAGCTCGGTGGTAGAGTGCATGTTTGGCATGCATGAAGTCCTAGGTTCAATCCCCAGTACCTCTATTTGAAAAATAATATTAAATGAGATGAGAAAGAGAGAGGAGGACTAATAAGAAGAAAGAGAAGAAGAAAAGAGAAAGGCAGTTCTTTTGCGGAACAAAGTAATTATTTTCTGATTGGGTGAGAAAAGTAGGAAATGCAAAGAAGTATAAGTCCCCCCAAAGTAGCAAAACTAGGATTGTACTGATAGAGGGAGTTTTGAAAGCAATCTCCATTCTGATCCTCTTCTAATTCTTGGAATAGTATAATGATTAATACTCCATGACAGAAGGTATGCTGGCAAATTGCCCTCTATCTGAAAACAGAGGAAACACCCTGGAAAGAATGAGATGTGGTGGTGAGAGGAAATGACAGTGTCATGAAAAGTCTAGCTCTCAGTCATCGCAGGAGCACCCCAAATTCCGGCCTATGTTAGGCCACCTGATGGGATCCTGGTATCCCCCGTGTCACTGTGTAAAGGTGGTCACTTGGACACAAGCAGGGATAGAGCAGCCCAAGTACACGGAGGGGTCTAAGATTTGGGGACCCTATGTGCTGAGTATTCAAGTAGTGCTCAGGAGTAGCCTGTTAATTGATGTCCTAGACCTCCTCAGTCTTTTTAGGTGACAGAGCTTCTCTGGGGTCTGATCCCAGAGTGAGGTAAGCACCTCAGAACACATGGAGGTTCTCCAGGTCACTCAGTAACAACAGGACAAGTGGGCTTGTCTTGGCTAAAGAAGGATAGTAGTTGTACCTCACTCCTCCAGAAGCCATTTACAGGCTTAAATCATAGGTGAGAACTCGACAGATTCCAAGAAAGTCTTTGAGCAGCCAAATGAAGGGTGATTTTAAAAACTTCTTTAAAATGAAAAATAATTTATCCCTGACCAGGCCTTTCTTCTAGTTAAGAGTGCTTACGTCTGTGTGGTTGAAAAACTTCCATTTCATTATGAATTTGTCAAAAGAAGAGTATTAAAAACACATTTTTATGCCTAACATAGAATGTCAGTTGTTCCATTGGAAAAATGGAACATTTGAAAAATCCAGAGAAGTGTCTGAGGAAGTGTGCTTTTGGTGAACTTGGCAGAAATTGCCTAGGCGTTGAGTTTGCGATGGTTCAGGCTGGGACTGTCACTCCTTCAGATTTGTGTACCTTAGATTTGAATATATGCCAATAACTAAGGGAAAATTTATTAATTCATCATTTTACCATCAAACACACTATTATAAATATAGCAAGTGAAGACCAAGAACATGGCCAAATTATTAATATTGGTGTTTTAATTCCAGGGCAAGGTAAAAAAAAAAAAGATGGACTTCGTTCTCCCAGACAGTTGTTTATGCTGTTTTGAGCCATAAAAGCGAGCTCTTTGGCATGATGCTTTTTCACTTGTCTGCCTCTGTATCACTCCAGTTTCTACTAGAACCTAGGCTTCACTTTCTCAGGGAGTTCTAAAATTGCCTTTGAGGGAAACTTCAAGCAATTTCTAATTAGCTTTTTCGATTGTGCTTTTCATTGAATTCTGGTGCTCTTCCTTAAAATTTGCATGATTGGTTTTTAAAGAATTCTGCTAGCATCATGGACTCAGACAATTATTATTCCAGATTTTTTTATTTTAAAATTAAAAAAATTTTTGAGGGGGGAGGTGATTAGGTTTATTTATGTATTTATTTATATTAATGGAGGTACTGGGGATTGAACCCAGGACCTTGTGCGTGCTAAGAATGCACTCTACCACTGAACTACACCCTTGCCACCCCCACCTCCAGGATTTCTTGAACAAAGATCACCAAAACTTTATTAAGCCTCCAAAATACTAAGGAAAACATTTTAAATTCACATGTGGAAACAGCTTATGATTGCCTTCTACTGATTTACTGCTTGTTTGACAGGGTATTGCAATCATGCTTTTCATTACCGGGTTCATGTGGGAAAACTTAGGAACTGCTCCATAACTGTCACATCTGTGGACAATTTCAGGTTTTTCTGAATTTCCCTCATTATCTTATGTATTTTCACTGGTTTCAAGCTTACTCATCAAACTTCCTGTTTTTAACCACTGATCCATGCTCCCAGTTGAAAATACAATTTGAAACTATTCACTTGACAAAGTTAAGTGAAGTATAACTTTACAACACAAGAAACCTCAGAATTTGGGTTTGTTCTGTGTTATGGGAGAATTCACTGTGTTTAGAGAAATAACTCAATCTAGATATGTGCTTGCAAAAAAGTATTTAATCTCATAATTGCGATGGTGATTTAACTGATCTGTGGGAGTAAGTGTGTATGTGTGTGTGTGTGTGTGTGTATGCAGAAGTTAGAAAAACCCCACTGATTCTTAACGGAACAGACTCATTAAATATAGCAAAAATAAAGACTGTGAACTTCCCCTGAGATTATGTAACTGATAGATTACCACTGTTCTTCCCACCAAGTAGTGAAACTGTTTTCAAATTAGACATGTTTTCAGCTTTTCTTACTGGAGGAGCTATGTTTGTACTAAACAATGTTGGCTACTTTGATTGGAGCAGAGGTGGTAAGTTGAGCAGCCTGGGCCAATCAAATACTCTTTTCTATGATTGGTGAATTAGGAGTAAAACATTCTAGTTTAGTCCATTTCCATTTTGTTGTAGTCAGAATTCTAAGATGACCCCAATCTCCCTTTAGATGGATGTAGTGATAACTTGCTGCTACTTTGGGAAAGAGGTCCTGGCTGATGGC